TAGATTATCAAGGATCATCTCTTGCACTTAAATCAACTAACTATAGATTATCCACAACTACAGTATCTTGTCACTAGTATTTAAATGAATAACTGGATAATTCATCCCAGGCATACTGAACTTTAAAACTAAACATGACATTGAACATTTGTCCACTTGGGCTGCATACATATCCCCTTAAACATACTTAATCAGCAAATGAAGATTAGCTATATACCTAAGACTTTAGGCTTCTAGGTAGAAGCCTTTCTTCATTTAGGACTAAGACTTCTAAGCCAACCAGATAGCAAGGTTGAAGGACAAAGTTAAATTTTTGTTGTTGGATCAATCAGGTAATAGGCAATGGTGTCATTCCCTTTCCATGCCTTGATTCCTGGACCCAGGAGTCCTCGCTATGGTAGAAACAGTGCCATATACCATACATTAATTTAATAGCATGCACAGGCTCCAAAGAACTGTACCTCATCTGCAAAGTATTGCCACCAACCTGGTACAGTATACCAAAAGCATTCTAAGGTTATTTCTCTGGTTTTAGAATGCATAACTGCAATATATATATACTCAGCAATTAGCAAAAGAGATTCAGCAGTATTTAGAAATCTGATGTTTCCAGCTTCATTGGATCTTTCCCTGTGTCCCCATTCCAAATTTCACATTCCCATTAGTTCCTAATCAGTGCTAATAGAAGACACTTTCCAAGGTTGAGAATTCAATTTGTGCTATAATGAAGACCCTGGCAAGATAAGTCTCTGAGTTTAGTATTCAAAAATCTCAGCCTTACAGTCTGATATGACATAAGGTTTCTCTGCAGATAGTTGGAAGCTTCCAGGTTAGATATGGATATTTTTGATTTGAATCCCTGACCCAACCTTTTTCTTCCTGACTGTTATAGTTAGGATCAACCAGATTACCTGAATATAGTCCTTATTTTGATGAAATATTGTAAGGTATCAAATACAAGGCCATCCAAACACTTGCCTTTTATATGGTCTGTTTTGTAAGACATTTGAATAATGGATAACCTTCCAGCAACAAAGGTGGGAAGGGAAGAGCCTGGAGAAAAGGAGGCGTTCACTTTCAATCCACTGGAGGAACAACTCATACAGATCCAGAGGCTTGAGGCCTGCAGAAGAAATGGGTCAAGCTGAACAGGTTTTTCCCAGAGGAGGCTTGTTTATGAGTGGGTTGGGGACTTAGGCAACCTCTTCACAGACTTTGAACACAGGCCCTGGCTTCCTCACCTCATTGTGCCCTAAACCCTTTGCACTCAGGAAGCCCCACCTTCTCCTAGGGGCACCTCACCCCCAGGGCTATGTACAGCTTTGGCAGAGTCAGGTTCATAGATAGGTGTTCAGGAGGCCAGTGAATTGTCTGAACCAGGACATCACCTGATCCAGGTTATCTGGCTCCTGGATCTGAAATGGTGACAGAAAAAAAGAACCACTCAGGGTCTCAGTGAATTCATTCAGACCCCAGGTCTCTGTGTAAGAAAGAGAGGGTGCTGCCGGACAGCTGTGGGGCCTCTCTAACTCCTCCTGTACTGCTGCCTTTCTGAACTGTCTGGCATGGTGCCCACTGCAACCCCACACCATAGCTCTAAGTCCAAGACACATTCTTCTCACACTTAGTTAACTCAACAACCCTAATTGGCCACCCTGCTTCCACCTGGCACCTACCACCAACTCTCTCAGCACTGCAGCCAGGGAGAGCTTCCTTCTCAATCTGAGACTTTTTCATAACAAAGGTGACATCTGTTATATACTAGAGAAGCCATCTAGATTCTTCCTACTGTGTTGTTCAACAGGTTTTGATTGAGGACCTACTTGTTCAAGGTTCTGTCCTTGATGTTTCAGGGCAATTAGAAAGACATGTCCCTGCCTTTTGGTTTTATGGAGAAGAGGGAAACAGACAAGTAGAAAAGTAAATGCAATAATCACAAACAGAAGTAGGTGCTGAAAGGAAAGAAGAAAGACTGCTATGAGAGTGACTAACAGATAGGACCTGATTGGATCCTGGAGAGCTTCTTATGGAGAGTACAATTAAAATGAAATCAGAGAATGATAAAGATCTGGTTGTGTGGAAGAGCAAGAGAAAGGCATTCTAATGGAGGGAACAGCAAGCACAAAGACTCTGAAGTGGGAAAAATCATGATGTCAGTCAGGAGAGCGGTGGGAGTCACCTGAGATGAGGTTGGAGAGATCATGGGAGGGTAGTGTGTGCTCCTGACAGGATGAAGGAAGAGAATGCATAAAAGCACTGTCTCCATGCCCAGCACACTGCTAGTGTAATACTAAATAAATCGAGCAGCAGTTAGATTTTATAATGATGGCCCTGCTTTGTGACTTTAAGAAAATCAGTGAATACCTGTGGGAGTTCATCCTCTTGTCTATAAAACTGGGTTAGTAACACCAGGCAAACTGAGGATTAGATGTGCTTTTCAAAGGAGAATACTGTACAAAAACAGAGGAGAGGATTTTCGAACCTTTCTTTCATGCCAGCCCCATGCAGGATGCTGAGGCAAGAGAACCTCCCTTTCTCAGATTCACCTCTGCCTGCCATGCAGGGAGAAGTGGAGGCACAGAATGTCCCCAGTCTAAAGTAAACACAACAGTCCAGTGTCCTCCTTCAGTCAGAAAAAGCAGCAAATAGGTTTAAAAATCTTTTTCTGTGATATTCAGCCTTTACAGAGGAATAAGTGTAAATAAGAAACGTAAAATTGCCTCAGCTTCAACTCAGCATTATCAAAACCCAGAAGGCAAGAAGGGCCTGGGGTAACCTTCCACAAGTTGCCACCATGGGAATAAACTGACTCCACCTCCGCCTTGTTTTGCAAATAAAATGAACCTGGAAGCAAGTAGGAATAAAAAACCATTAATTTCCTTTTTAATGTACGGCACCCCAAAGTAAATTTTGTTTATTGACAATGGTGATCTCACCAGTCCTAAGTTTCATTCATTCCCTCTCTCCCCCATTCACCAAATCACTCAGTATTTATTGGGCACCATTGATTGTCCCAGGCCTCCGCTCCACGTTACAGGAAGCACAAGCACGTACACTGCATATTTACAGCCTCCCGGGAGTCTTAGGTTGGGGTGTCTGGACACCAAAAAGATGGGAAAGATGTTTACTTGTAAGTAAATCTTCACCTACCAAAGACAATTTTTCTGAGACTTAAGTCTGTACTCTGCATTCTACTCTATATTACACTTTCATTACTTTGTTGCAAGCTTTGCTCAGATTTTTCAAAATTCCCCATGAGTATCATTTTCAATGGCTGCACACAACCAGCACAGTCATAATTGGTTTCCTATACACCCTCTCACAGGAGCTTCCCTGGACAGTGAGGCCTGCATTTGTGTCAAAATCTGGAATATATATTCTGTCACATCTTCCTGCTACTTGCAAACAGTAGATGAAACACAGTAAGGGTGAAATTCTTCCTGTAAAGTTGGCTACCATATGAATCAGACACTCAGCCTAATCCTCATCATCTCCTCATTAAAGGTTAACAATAAACTATCTGGAACCAAATCGTCTGGGTTAGAATCTGACTGTACCTCTTACCTGCTGGATGATCCTGGGCAAGCAAGCAGCCTTTCTACCTTGGATTTTCTGTCTCTATTATGAGGGTTTTTTCTTTTTACCATTTTGTAGGATGTTTGTGAGATGAAATAGATGAAGATTTGATCATTTTCCTGAACATAGAGTCCTCACCAGATGTTAATGATTATAGGTTTAAAAAACTCTAGTAGAAAATAATCTCAAGATGGGGGCAAAGTTGAGTGAAATAAGGTATAAATAGTGGCATGACCCTCTGTCCTTGAGATCTGGCAGGACTCAGGATTCAGGAAAGAAACAAAAGAATCCACAAGTCGATTAATGAATTACCTGTCAAAATGTAAGTGTTTATAGCACAGGAAGGTATTCAGAAAGAGCACTTGGATGGGTGAAGCACTCGGGCCCTGTGTAAATGCCTAGCCCCTTGGAAAACTGATGTCCAAGGATTTCCTCCCAAAATATGTTTTGTGTTTTACTCTCTGAATTCTGTAGATTGAATTTGGCCTTAAGGGGTCATGAAAAAGTGAGGGTAAGGAACTTGAAGGTGAACAAGATGTATTCCTTGCTCTGCTTAACTCTGTTGGTAACGATCACCAGCACCTAGAACCCTCTACCTGTGTGAACTCCTACTCATCGCTTAAGACCCTATTCTTCTGTTTCAGATTTCTCTTTCCCTGGTGGACATTTCATTCTTGCAATACAGCCTTATTATATTCAATGTACTGATTTATTTTTCTTCCTTCTGTGAGGTTAAGAAATTTCCATTGAGTTTGTTGAGTGACTGAAAGTATGAACTGTCTTATGGGACATTTCAGAAAGGAATCATTATCCCACCTTAAAAATAAACCACTAGATTCAGAGAGGATAAGTTACTGACTATATATGTAGAGAAGCTGACCTGAGTCTTGAGCCTCCTGAATCCAAGTCCAATGCAGAGTTGTAACGTGGACATGACAAGTCCCAAGGAACATTCCAGAGGAAGCTGAGGAAGGCAGCTTTGGAGTGCAATAGGAAAAGATTTTATTCCCTTTCTGCACTGCCAATGACTGTTTCCTCTTAACACCTCAATTATCCTCTTTGTAATAATTTTCTCATGCCTAGAATAATAATGCTAGCACAAACAGCCTCACCTGTTGACAGGTAAATTAGACAATGAATTCCTTGAAGTCTGGGTTCGTTTGTTCATTTTGTCCCTCTTGTCAACCAGGATACTAACTAGTACATAGTAGGTGCTCAGTAAATACTTATAAGCAATATGGAGAGGGGAAAGTAGCTATTGACATAGTTATTTGATAAAGCTTTGGTCCCGAGCTGTATTATCTGGTTAATCAACTCTGGACTTTGAGATCATCTTTCTCCCTCCCACAGGTAGGCAGGGCAATCCTTTTAGGACTAGAGAAGTATTGGATGTTCACTGACAGTGATTCAGAAGCTGTTGCACCATGAGTGTCTCTGCACCTAGCCCCACCATCTTCTCAGGCAGCATCTCTGGGTTCTTCCAAGTGGCCTCCCTGCTCAGCCTACTTCTGCTGTTGTTCAAGGTAGCCCAGCACCACCTGCAAAGACAGCGGCTACTCAAAGCCTTCCAGGAGTTCCCATCTCCACCCTCCCACTGGGTCTTTGGGCACAAGGTAAGATGGGACAAGGGAAGGGAAGTGGGAAGGCAAGGAGGTTGGGCTCTCAGAGATTGGGCAGCAAATCAGCAAAAAGTCTGCTGTATAAATTGGACAGGCCTCCATGGAACACCCACACATCTCTCAGACTGAGCTCATCTCAGTGACAGAGAGCTCACTACCTCACAAGAAGTCCATCCTGCTGTTAATCAGATCTAGCCACACTCCTTCCTTATGCAGGTCTATCATCTTCCCTGGCAGCTGTGCACTTGCAGGGCTGTGGTCCTTCCCGGATTTCCTCTCCAGGATGAGCATTTCCAGCAGCCTAAGCTGTTCTGTAAGAATCAGCCTTCTAGATGGTTCCCTGACCCAGTCACTCAGTGTGATTGTCTGTTCCTGGCACAGATTGCCTGAGAACAGAGACATCAGCCCTAGGGAATCCCTATCCTTCAGGGTTCTCAGTTTATGGTGATGACAGACTTGAACCTATGGGTGTCAGGACACAGGAAAAGAATTCATCCTGCTGGGCTGAGTGGATGATGTCAAGTTGAAGAATCAATGACTAGGTTTGCGCAAGATTGAGGGAAATTCCAAAATGGGAGATTTACAGGCTGGTATATGTAAGATCATGGCATCTGTGAAGGGGACAAATGCATGATGTCCTGCTGGTGATAGAGAAGGACTGATTCTAGAGTTACCCATTAATCAGGGTCTGTTTATCTCTGGGATGTCTTTCAACATACCCCGCACTATAACTGGAGCTGACTACAACATGTACTCCAGTGTCCAACACAGGGCCTGGCACAGGTCTATGAAATCACCCCAGAAGAAGGGAAAAGAGCAGCCTGAAACAGGGAAGATCAATGCTGACCCCTTGCACTCCAATCCTGTGGGTAAGGGGTACAGTGTTAGGTGAGATGCTGCATGGAAAGTCACTCAGCAGGGATTGTGCACTGACCACACTTGATATGGAGGATGTAGAGTTTGTGCAGAGTTATGCTCTAACACCCATAGGTCCTCTAGGTGCATAACTTCCTCCCACAAGGCCACAATCTGGCTCAGGGATAGTTGTAGGGGACAGCAAAGGTTAGGTAATGGCATACATAGATCATCAAATGACTCCAATTCCTGACTTCCACTGAAACATCCAGAACTATATTGCTGTGGTCATCCTGACCTTCACTGTAGTTCAAGAACTAAAACAAAAGATGATATTTAATGATTTACCTTTCAATGATGTCAGATCCAAAGTGACCAGGAGCTACAAGAGATTCTGACATGGGTAGAGAAATTCCCAAGTGGATGCCCACAGTGGCTTTGGGGGAGCAAAGTGCGTTTCATCGTCTATGACCCTGACTACATGAAGATCATTCTGGGGAGAACAGGTGAGAGTGAAATGCCATCCTACCAAAAGTAGATATTTCCTGCTGGATTTAAGCCCTGGGTCTGTGAAATTCCAGAAAGAAGTGGCAGTTCACCCATCAGGGTCTGAGTACTGCCTACCATTCTCCCTGCCAAAACCCAGCATAGAGCCAATACTACTTACATAATACATGGTCCTTAGACATTAAAGCAGCTGTGCAGGGCTCAATTTTGTCTCCCCCCCCCATCTTTTTATAAACTAAATTAGGTTAACAAGTTATACCTTGTATATGAAAAAAAACCCTTCATATCCACTCTGATTTGGGTTTGAAACCTCTAATTGTCATTTGTTCTGGAATGACTAATCTACCACCCATTGTAGAAAAACTACAAGGACCTTTCCTATTCTTTGGCATTGAGGACGAGGCCTATGTTCCTCATCAACTTTCTGTCCAATTCCTGGGGATGTTGAACTCTGGAACATGGAGTCTGCTTTCTTAAGCACAGTTGACGTCATGACAGAAATAGAAGAGGTTGGAAGGTAGCAAGAGATGACATGGGACAAACTGCTAAGTGACAATTATCAAGATTTCACGGCTGCCACTGGTCTGAACAACAGCTGCCTCAGGTCTGCATCATTTTCCATTGTTTCCAATAAATATTCTCGATTTCTTTTCAGACCCTAAAGCTCGTAGCTCCTATCGATTCTTGGCTCCTTGGATTGGTATGTACCTCTGATTAGGACTGCAGTCACTCTTCACATAGGTTCACTGTTCCTTAGACCACTGAGAACAACAGGTGACAGGCCATTACTGTGATCCATTACAAAATCGAAGCCTCATTTCTGATCTTCTATCCAGACCCTCACCTCTTCCTTATGCTGGTATGAGGCCTCCGGAGGCTCAGCAGCTCCATGTTGTCTCCAAACATTTTCAGCCTTACATTTGTGTAAGTCCCTCCATGCCCTGCAGTGAGGTCTCTTAAATCCTTATTGACATCTGTCATGATATCATGAACCACCCGAATTCAGAAGTTCACATTCCTGAAAAGTACCAAATTTTCTATTTTTGTCCAAGAAATACTGCCCTCAGGAGTATGATCATCTTTCTTTCCCAAATTGTCCCATTGTTCCTCTGTTCCCATCACAAACATCTATGAGCACAACTATCTCTGGTCCAGGGGAAGGCTTGCTCCTCTTGAATGGGCAGACATGGTTCCAGCACCGACGCATGTTGACTCCAGCCTTCCACTATGACGTCCTGATGCCCTACGTGGGAATCATGGCAGACTCTGTCCGAGTTATGCTGGTGAGTCTGTCTCTCCCTCTCATGTCCAAACACCCACTCACAGCACACACTCAGATCCCACTCTCCACCGCATAAGCCGTCAGACATAGTCACATGGAACAATGCTATAAAGTCATTGCTGTGAAAGCAGCTTTTTCAAAGTAAATGGACAGAAAGGACCCTGCCACCAAGATTGAGCCACACTGTGCTATTTCTGAGACAAAGAGTGTCATGGTGCACACAGGCTCTTACCATCCTACCTCCAGGTCCTCCACTCAGTGAACCAGGAAGTAGTCATCTCAACCAGGCAGTCAGACTACCTGTTTCTGACTAGTCTGGCAATGCTTTGGTGACAAGGGGACTTCCCAGGATGTCATTCAATCAGGCTCTGGCCTGGGGCCCAGGACATCTGAATGGATACTAGTGTCTCATGTAGTGAAATGGACACCAAGTGCACATTCTCATAGCTAAACATTCCATACAATCACCTCCAATCAGAAATCTGATTTCTGACCTGACAGTGCTCAGGAAACTTTTGATGAATGAAAGGAACTGAAGTCCAGAATGGCCCCTAATAGGAGTGTGCAAGCAAACCCAAGGAAGCCTTTCCTTGACACACTTTGTTTTCATATTTTGAATTTCACCCATTTTTCAAATCTTTCAGAAAACTGGAGAGTACTCTGGGGACTTTATTATCAACTGAAAGGTCATAAATGATTCCCAAAATTCAAAATGTCACTAGCTGTTATATGAAAATATGTTCAACTGAACATATTTGTAATAAAATTTATAATAAAATAAATAAAATTTGTGAAAAAATACACATCAGATTTCACAATTTCCTAAAAAGCATCTGTCTCAGGAATTTAGAGCAGAATATCTGGAGATATGGAAGGATCCTAGTCTCTTTGGTACAGATCTCTTGGGGATAATGAAACTTTCAATATCCCCTCCCATCACAGGACAAATGGGAGCAGCTCATCAGCCAGGACTCCTCTCTGGAGATCTTCCAACATGTCTCCTTAATGACACTGGACACTATCATGAAGTGTGCCTTCACTCACCAGGGTAGTGTCCAATTGGACAGGTCAGTGACAACCCTTCAGTTGCTGTGTCTTTGTCTTAACCAAGTGATGTGGACTTACCTGACAAGCAGGTGGGGCAGCTTTTATGCTCACCTTCATGTGAACCAAGATTCTGTTGCCAATTCCAGGCCAAGTTCTAATTCCACAGCAGACCAAATCCTACACACAGTGCTGATCCCCAGAAAAGGTGGAAGCATGGCTGGTCATACCATCTTTTAAGGCTATAAGGATCACAAAGGCTGTAAAACAGAGTAACGAGTGTCCCAGTGTTCCCTGTGAACACAATTGAGGGAATCACCAATCTGCCTCTGAGGCAGACCTCCTCATCTCCATTATATTCTGTATATTCTCCCCAGGAATTCCCAGACCTATCTCCAAGCTATCGGGGACCTGAACAACCTCTTTTTCTTCCGAGTGAGAAATGCCTTTTACCAGAATGATACGATCTACAAGCTGACCTCTGATGGACGCTTGTCCCACCGGTCCTGCCAAATTGCCCATGAACACACAGGTCATTCTCCTTTATCTTGTCCTTGAGCAGATCAGCCCAAAGAAGCGAGCCATGACCTCTCAGTGAAAGCCAGGTCCTCCAGTGCCCTTGAAGGACCTGGGACACTACACAAATGAAAGAGAATTAAGATATTAGAGTGCCACATGCTATGCAAGGGTTATCTGGGACATCACATTGGTGACATGAAATGAGACCTATTTCAATGGCATGCAACAGAGGCTCCATGGCTGTGTTCCTGAAGGGAGGCCCGATCTGCAGCAAATGTGCTAGTCTCCACCTCTAACCTGCATGCTCCTGGGCTTTGCTGGGCACCCAGAATAGGGAAACTGGGAGTTTCTGGGGCATTTAGTTCACCTGGTAACTGTTCTCTGGGACAGACCGAGTGATCAAGCTGAGGAAGGCTCAGCTGCAGGATGAGGGAGAGCTGGAAAAAGTCAAAAGGAAGAGACATTTGGATTTCCTGGACATCCTCCTGTTTGCCAGAGTGAGTGTGTAGAGGAAGAGGCCTGAGGCTTTGCTCAGAACCAAAGAGTGAGGGACAAACCCTAATCTCTCACTATGACCTCCCCCAGATGGAGAATGGGAAAGGTTTGTCTGACAAAGACCTACGTGCTGAGGTGGACACATTCATGTTTGAGGGTCATGACACCACTGCCAGTGGCCTCTCCTGGATCTTCTATGCTCTAGCCATGCATCCCAAACATCAGCAGATGTGCAGGGAGGAGGTCCAAAGTCTCCTGGGGGATGGAGCCTCCATTACCTGGTGAGTGAGAGCTCAAGGGTAGGGAAAGGCCTGTTTGTGAGGTGGGGCAAAACCTGGTCTACCTGGGTCCTGTCTGCCATTCAAATGTGTTTCATTTCAGGGACCACCTGGACCAGATGCCCTATACCACCATGTGCATCAAGGAGGCAATGAGGCTCTATCCACCAGTACCAGGTGTAAGCAGGGAACTGAGCAAGCCTGTCACCTTCCCTGATGGACGCTCCTTACCCAAAGGTATGAGATTCCCAGACCTATTCACTAAGGAAAAGGGAGGGACAGGAATCTACATGGGCTTTGCAGTTGTGTACCTCACTGACTCTCCCTTTCTTCATTAGTAATTTGGGCCTTTACATAGAAATGCTTAACACAGAGCTTGGGTTCAGCAAAAAAAATCAATAAAAAATATCAGCCTCTATGTCAACTGCCAGACATTAGCCCTAAAATTTTCATTGCTTCACATTTTCATGGAGAGAGAATCAGAGAAGGTCTAAAATGCTATGGTTCTTTCCATGATTGAAGGCAAGTCAGGAAATCCCATGTCATGGATGAAATGTGGTCCTGTCTGAGGAATCCTCAGCTTGGTTGAAAAGAGCAGCTGATGACTAGATCTGAGACCCATACCATGGTAGGAAAACACCCATTAGCTCACTCCCCATCCAGTATGATTTTACCTATGCTGCATCAAAGCTGTATGAACATAGGAAAGACAATCAACCTTCTGAGACTTTGGAATCTCACGTGAAAAATAGATATAAAACGATGTATCTTCTGTGGTAAATTGGCAGTTTAGAATTTTCCTCTGTATGACTCCACGAATAAGAAGAGTCAAGGTAACAAAGAACAGGTGGTAGTCTAAAGAGAGAAAGAGCGGAATGACATCAATAAATCTTGAACGAGGTAGCAGCACAGGTAAACAGAACAGGGAATCAAAAAGACTGCACAGAAAAAGTCACAAGCAGCTTGGAGCTCCAACCTTGGCTCCCAAGAGGAAAGGGGGCCCAAAGTTACAACCACAATATGAACCAGTCAACCCAAAAACAGATTGGCAGTCCTAGCCTCAGGATAAGCTGACACTTCTCACAAGCCATAAATCCAGTGCAGAGGTTTGGTGTGACAGTAATTCCTCCTGCATTGCAGGCCACCATTGGAAAATAAATCCATTTCATAACTCCTCATGTCTCAGAGGTTACAGCTGGATGCCATCTTGAGAGGAGGCCTATTGTTTGAGACTGAGCTGCACTGGAAACCTGAAAACAAGGGATGGTATCAACTCAGGGAGCATGAGGGCACCATGCAAAGGGCCACAGTGTCTGGGTGTGAGGAAGACTTGGAGGGACCCATGTAGAGGGCAAGGGCCATACATAGACCTCTGAGAAGTTTAAGAAGGAGGCATCTTGGATTATGCTTAGAGCACAGTGGTTGGTGGCCATGACCTCTGTGTCAAGAAGTAAACCCCATTGCCTGAGTTTTCTTAGCCTCTAGAACTGCCTCCCTGCCCCATGTATTTTGCTGCCTGAGAGCTTTGATCTCAGGGGGACTGAGAGCTCAGGTCTGGTGCATCACTGAGTTTCTCCAACATAGAAAAGCTACTCAATGAAATTTTAGCAGGAAATTCCCTAAATCTAGAGGAATAATGGACATAAAAAGTACATTAGATATTTTGAAGTCCCAGTAGAAAAGAACCTATCCACATCATAATACAGTTAAAATGCCAAGAGTACAGAACAAAGCAAGAAAACCAAAAGCTGCAAGAGAGAAATGCTAAGTTACTTATAAGGGCAAGCCTATCAGAACAACAGCAGGCTTCTCAATGGAAATCTTAAAGGCCAGTATAATGTGCATATATCTATTTCAAGCCCTGAAACAAAATAATTGCCAACCATGACTACTATATCCAGGAAAGCTATCTTTAAAAATGAAGGAGAAATAAATATTCCATGAAAGTATAAACTAAAACGAATCATGATCATTAAGCCAGTATTGCAAAAGATACTTAATGTAAACACACAAAGAAGAAGAAGAAAGATTATGCAAGCACAGGAGCTTAAGAAATAATAAATCTCACTAGGAGAATATGTAAAGAAAAGTGAAGTAGGAAAGAATCAAACACTATTACCCACTAAACCAGAAAACCTCCATCAAGAAGAGGGAAGAACATATATTTGTTGTCCGTAAGAAACTCAACTTGCTGGCAAAGGCATGCACAGACTAGAAGTGAAAGGATGGAAAATGATATTCCAAGAAAAAGGAACCTGAAAGAAGGCAGGAGCAGGCATACTCATATCTAACAAAGTAGAATTAAGGCAAAATTAGTCAGAAGGGATAAAAATGGTTACTACATATTAAAAAGGGAACAACCCATCAAGAAAATAAACAATTTTAAATGTGACCCAACTTTGTGCACCCAATTTCATAAACAAACACTATTGACATATAGGGTCATATAGGTCCTGATACAATAATAGTGGGTGACTTCAATAGCATTCACTCTGATAGATATCCAAAACAACAAAAAATCAACAAAGAAACTTCTGAGTTAGATCAATTGGAATTAACAGACAATTTTTTCTTTTTCTTTTATTTTTTCTTTCACTGCTGTGATGGATGGGGGTATATTGTGGCATTTACAAGGTTTTACAATTGTATCAATATTCATACTTGAATTCACTCCCTTCAAAGCTCTCCTTTATCTCCCCCCATTCTGGAATAGTTTCAACAGGTATCATTTTGGCATTTATGGACATGTGTAACTATTTTGCACCATATTGACCTCCTACCTACTTTCTCTACCACCATCCCTCCCACTGGTGCCAGGTACCTCTACCCCTATGAAGGACCTGGTCATCCTCCTGTTCTCAAATTTTGTAGAAGAAAAAAGGTGGGTGACTTCAATAGCCCATTCACTCTAATAGATATCCAACAACAACAAAAAAAATCAACAAAGAAACTTCTGAGTTAGATCAATTGGAATTAACAGACAATTTTTTCTTTTTCTTTTATTTTTTCTTCACTGCTGTGATGGATGGGGGTATATTGTGGCATTTACAAAGGTTCTTACAATGTATCAAATATATCATACTTGAATTCACCCCTTCTACAGCTCTCCTTTATCTCCCCCCATTCCTGGAATAGTTTCAACAGGTATCAATTTTGCATTTATGGACATGTGTACACATATTTTGCACCATATTGACCCTCCTACCTACTTTCTCTACCACCATCCCCTCCCACTGGTGCCAGGTCACCTCTACCCCTATGAAGGACCTGGTCCATCCTCCTGTTCTCAAATTTTGTAGAAGAAAAAAGGTAAAAGACAAAAAGAAAAAACAACACGGTCTTGATTGCTTGAGATAAAGGTATTTACAAAGGGAATTTCCTTGTGATATTTCCATGTATATATGTACTATAATCCCAATTGGTTTGTCTCCTCTAATTTTCTTCATTCTACCTTAGTACCTTACTGATGGTTTCTGTCGGTTTAACATTTCTATATTCATTCTTGTATAGAGAGTATATGAACCATATTTAAGTTCTTAGTTTCCTTCTTTTTACTCTACCCCTCCTTTGTGTGACCTCCCGTTAGTGTAATCAGGGTTTCATAATATTGCTGCAGTTGTATTAGGTCTATTGGAATTAAAAGACCTTTACAGAATAGTCCATCCCACAGCTACGTAAAAGCACATTTTTCTCAACAACCCATGAAACATTCTCCAAAACAGATCATATTTTAGGTCATAAATGAAGTCTTAACAAATAAAAAAGTGAAATCATTTCTTGTATCTTATCAGGTCATAATGGAATAAAATTAGAAATCAATAGCAATAGAGACTACAGAAACTATGCAAACACCTGACTTGTAGTGAGTCTTTGAAGAAATCAGAGAATAAATTTAAAAATTCCCAGATTCAAATGAAAATGAAATCACACTTAACAGAACCTTTAGAAGACAACACAGGCAGTTAATGACATATGCAGAGTTTTAGATTTTAAAAGAAAAAGACATGAAAGTGGAGGAACTATTTGAAGAAGCAGGACAGGATCAGGTGGAGGTGAGGGGACATGAGAGGGTAATAGGTGATTATGATCAAAGTAGATTAGTACATATATGAAAATAACATATCAAAACTGATTTTGTACAGTTAATGCATGCTAATAAAATGTCATAATGAAACTCATCATTTTCTGTAATTAATATATGCTAATAAAAACTAAAACAAAAAGAAGAAAATAATAAAAGTTTGCTCTGAGAGGGTTGCTTTTGAATGCTGAGTGAGTTAATGTGCATTCTGTAAATGCTCATGGAAGACATTTGATGAGTGTGAGTTATCGCTTCACTTACTACAGTGTTTTCTTGCTCTAATTTCTAGGGCATGGTTTTTCTGCCCCTAACCGCTCTAGGTGCTGTATCTTGCTCTCTATAATAGGATCATTATGCTGAAAGTGTTGATACCTTGCACCCAGGCCATTTCCATGTTGATGTGGTAAGACCAGAGCCTTACCCCATTGGCATAACCATTCTTTTGTCTCCTACTTATCCCACAGGTGTAATACTTGTGCTCTCCTTTTATGCCCTTCACCACAATCCAAAGGTGTGGCCAAATCCTGAGGTATGAGGGCCCTGGAAAGTGAAGAGGGGAGGCTAAGATCTCTGAGAACAAATGTCTCCTCCCACTCCTAACTCCATGCATTCTGTCACCTCATGGGTTAGAAAAGTAGGCTTGAGCCCTACCTGTCCTGACCCTGCTGCTCTCACACCAGGTGTTTGATCCTTCCCGGTTTGCACCAGATTCTGCCCAACACAGTCACTCATTCCTGCCCTTCTCAGGAGGATCAAGGTGAGGTGTCCTTTGTGTAGTAATGGGTGAGAAAAAAGGGGAGTCTCTGGGCACATACGTGATATTTGTGATCCTCTAGGTTCCTATGTGGCCTATGTAAGCATGCCTTTGACTGTTGATGTTTGTGGGCATGAAGCATCTTTTGGGTATATCTTTGCCCAAAAGAAAGGCAGCATTTTAGGACATATCATAGAGGTTTTGACCCAATGCCTAGGCAAGAGTTGGTGTCAGTGTGTGCTCCAAATTTTTTATTGTATTTAATTTTCTTCATTTCTGTTATTTTTTAGAATTGGATTTTCTCTTGTAAATTAACCCTCAGGTGTTTGTTTTCTTCAGTTGTCAGAAATTTTAAATATTTCTGTCTTTTCTCACTTTCCTAATTTGCCAGTTGGCCACTGCAACGAGTCATTGAAATTTTTTCATATATCTAGAATCAACAAATCTGCTGTAGAAACCATGTTTGTGAAAGTTCATAGCACATTGTAGAAAGACAGACACTGACAAATGTCATCTCACTCATTTTGGGCATCAGCAAAATTCTACACATAGAGAGGGACCTCTAAAACAGCATCTACACCAAGAATCATCTACACCAAGGGTAGAATAATACAAGCATGAGGACACTAAACAACCTCTGAGAGAAAACCCCACTATTCAGTTATGACACAAAAGAGCATTCTGGTGTGTGCAAAGGCAAACCAGCTTGACATAGCTATTGAGTGGGACCATCAAGTTCCAAAAGGGCTGCTGTGAAAATCCTAAAGCCCAAGCTGTGCTGTGGAATGTGAATTGCTATGAATCTTGTAAGTAATTAAAAGAAAGATTTTTCTGAGTTAATAATTTTATGAATTCTACAATGACGAATCAACTTTCACAGAACAGGCTTTAAGCATGATTAAAAGAGGCAGATTTCTAGGATAAAGTTTACCCAGAGAGGAACACTTCTTCAAGGAAACTATTTGCAAATCATGATGGCTATTAGAGGACAGGGAAGTTATTAAGTAGCTCAAATACTAGCTAGAATTATTTGCCATCCATGTATTCGATTCCATGTTACTCTATTAAAATTTCAACTAAATTAATTCATACACAAAAGTATTGCAAAGTATGTCTCTCTGTGCTAAGACCTCAGCTGGGAGAAGGGAACATAGAGATGCAGATTACTGCAACTGGTTCAGTGACAAGAACAGAAAGGTGTACAGAATCAGACACCAATACAGGAGACACATATCATTCGTTCCTTCATTCTTTCATGTTCATTCACTCAATGAGTAGTTCATGCAATGTTCCACATTCCTGGCAATGTTGAGGGCCTTGACAGTGAAAGGTCCTTGAATAAAGCACTGATGCTGTCTTGGAAATATGGGAGGGAAGGGGTCAGCCAGCAAGGTGTGAGGGCCAGCTGGTCATTGGCCTGAGCCTGGCAGAAGTGGATGGAGGATATTCTCAGTGACTTCAACAACATGAACTGAGGTAGGAAGTGGGACGGGACAGGTAGGAGGTAGGGAAGCAGCAGCCCAGAGTGAGTGTGGCTGTAGCTGGGGCATTTGGACACTGTCCTACCTGATGGAGGACATGAGAGTATCAGTGTGGAGGGAAAGGGTTACAGAGAACAGAGAAGTCCAGGAGAGGACACTAAAGGTTGGCAAGTGGGGACATTTCTGGAGTAGAATTATGTAGCTTCAGGTGTTGGTGGACTGAGGGTGAGGGGCAGGCAGGTGGGGCTGCATCTTGAGATTTCCCAATGTACAGCCACTTCTCAGAACTTCTCGACTACTATCTGACTCCTCTCTCAGGGTCAGAATCCTTTGTCCCCATAGATGGTGATCCCTGGGAATATGACCGCACATCCCCATGTTGCTTTGACCAATAACTGCCATACTGGGGAGCCAGAAATCATAGTGCAGAAAATCTAGGAATCAAAAAATGATTTACTGTAAAATGAATAATATTGCTGGGTGACGGTGGCTCACACTTGTAATCCTAGCTACTCAGGAAACAGATCAGTAGGGTCTCAGTTCAAAGCCAGCTTGAGAAAATAGTTCATGAGACCCTATTTCAAAAAATTCTATCACAAAAAATTGGACTGGTGGAGAGGGCTCAAGGTGAAGGCCCTGAGTTCAAGCCCCAAGGTTGTAAATAAATAAATAAAAATATTGACAGAGTCTGTCAATTGGAATATTGGCAAATCCTAAAAGAGATTTCATGCCTCTCAGAGAAGAATTCAGGGCAATCCCTTGAAGAAGTAGAAACCTTGCCAAAGGGCAGGAGGGTATGAACAAAGGCCTGGTGTAGAGGTGTATATGTGACCTGTAAGAAAAGAAGTCAGGATGGGCCAAAGGAGGAGAACCCTGAATGCCCAGCTATAGGCTGAAACTCAGGGGCCAATGCCTGCCCAGGTCAGAACAGGGCCTAAAGCCACGTCTCATTTCACTTTCCCTATCTGGTCCAGGAATTGCATTGGGAAACGATTTGCTATGAATGAGCTGAAAGTGGCCGTGGCCCTGACCCTGCTCCGCTTTGAGCTGCTGCCAGATTCCACAAGGATCCCTGAACCTATGGCACGAATTGTCTTGAAGTCCAAGAATGGGATCCACCTGTACCTTAGGAAGCTCTAATAATCTTGCTGGGGACAACGAGAATCTCTGTCAGTCTCATGAGTATTATCTTGTCTTTCTGTCACCAACTCGTACCTCTTACCCATGTGTACACATCATGCTTTCTCTCTACCCACTTTCCCTTCTTCCAACTGCTTGCTGTCATGGTTCCAGTCCTCCTGCTTATCTGCCCTTTTCTCTCCCACATTCTTCCTGGAGCCCTGCTTGCTTCTGTGTACCTGTCTCCCACCTGGTCACCTGTCTGCCCTCTAGCCTGCCTGACCCTCAACATGTTTTTTCTCTTTCTGCTACTTGAGGTTGGTACTGGATTATAAATAATTATGGCAATGTTAGTGTCTTTAAATGACAGAAATCTAATCCTTTATGAAATCAGAATTTTAACTATATTTCATAGGGACAAACCATGGTAATTGAAAGGTTCTGAACCTCTAGTGCTGCTGGTGTACCTCCGATTTCCCATTTCCATTATCTAGAGCTGCATGCTAGGTTTCAGGATCTTTCTTCAATATTCAAATCCAGCAGCATCTTTAAATCTTCCTGCTTACTGAGGCCAATAGGAGAAGGGGACCAGGAACTAGAGAAAAGGTTAGATCAAAAAGAATTAACCTAGAAGGTAACACACATGCACAGGAAATCAATGCAAGTCAACTCCCTGTATAGCTATCCTTATCTCAACTAGCAAAAACCTTTGGTCCTTACTATTATTGCTTATACTCTCTCTTCAACAAAATTAGAGATAAGGGCAAAATAGTTTCTGCCAGGTAGTGAGGGGATGGGGGGAGAGGGAAGGGGCGGGGGGGTAAGAGGGGGGGAAAGGGGGAGAAATAACCCAAACATTGTATGCATATATGAATGAAAAAAAATCTCCCTGCTTGTCTTTACTTTATCTCTCTATTTTAATGATCTTTGTGACTACATTGTACCCACAGTGATAATATGGGACATAAGAATTTTCCTCCCAGGATCAAGACATGTATACATTGGGAAACTATTAATCAGCTTTGCTCAGTCCTTCCCTGACTTTCACCTGACCTGTCCAACTGATTGTCTCTCACATGTGTCTTCCCATCTTCCCTTCTCCCCTCAATAAAGCACATAAGGTGGAGTGTCATGCCTATCTTTCCTTGGTAGGAGATGGAAGGAAAAGAGAGAGCTGGATGATCAGAGATCCAAAGGAGACAAGTCCTCTCTGGGGAAGGAGAAGTATATGGCATCTGCCCTGAGGTGCCAGAAGTCCAAATCAACGTGAAGTGACCCACATATTCCAGGAAGTCTCACCCAGGTGACCCATGATGTCCCACACCTGCCTATCTGCTGAGGCTCTGGTATAGCTGAATTTAGACAAAGATTCTGTTCTGGGAAGTCAGGAGCTCACACCAGATGGGGAAAAACACTAGGCCTTTAGTCTAGTCAAGGACTAATGTTCCCCTCATTACATTTTTAAAAACAGTAACAAGGTAGAGCCTGCTTAAAGCTAATTGGGGAAGTCTTCAGACAGAGTCATTCATGATAAACTCAGGGACCCTCCACTTCACAATCCCAATAAGGCATGTGAAGAGAGCCCAGCCTGATCATATCATCAGTCACTTGACAGCTTTCCTCACATAAAGAAACTGAAAGTCCCTCAGAAGGCTCAAGAAGTGGACATCTGTCCAGAAAGGACTGGGAAGAGCCAGAGAGCCAGGAGAGGCAGAGATCTGACTGGTGGGAGAAGATGTCAGCTCTAAAACAGGTCCTTCCAAACTAGATAGCCCCTTGGTGATTTCCTGCTCCCCTCACTGATCATCCTGAAGGAGACAAAAACTCAACAGTCCTACCTATACCTGATTACTACCTGATTGTTGGTGCTCATGACCATGTGCCAAGCTGCCTCACCCAGCCTCCTGTGAACTTCTACCAGGCTTCCTTATTTTTATCAGATCTTGCTTCTCTTGCTACTTCTGGGAACAGGGACTGAGAGGTTCCTCTATTTAGCCAACCATTCATAACCCAGGGACCTAGATGCCATAAACAGAGCTTCCTGGAGCTCTCTGCTTAAAGGGCTTCCTTCAATCATCACCCTTATTCCCCAACAGGCTTGCACTCAAGGTCTTCCTTCCAGTCCTTTGTCTTCCCAGGACAATGGACTAGAAGGAACATTCAAAAGCAGACTGGACACTTAGTGCTGGGCAAAAGATTTGCATCAAGCTAATGCGCTGGGTGTTAGGGTTAACAGTGAGGACAACCGTGTTAGGACCAGAGTCCCTTCCCTATTGCAGGTGGCTTACTAGAAACTCCCACTCGACCCTGTCCACAGAGCCAATCGCAACAGGATGCATGCTGCTGCAGGGGGTGGACAAGGCCGGGTGCTTGGCACCAGAAGCCAATGCCTCAACCTCCGACAACAAATAATGGACTGCTGGGGACAGTGATCTTCCTGGGCTAAAGGCTCCAGACTTTCATCCAGGACACTACCCAGATCAACTTAATCCTGTTCCTTGAACAGACCTGCTATAACAAGAAGACCCTGTTGATAACCCCTCTCCTTAACTTCACCTCATCAAAAAGTAGCTAAATGAAATTTCATTGTCCTTTTTCCTATATATCTGTCTATCTATCTACCAAAAGGCAGGAATGTTGGGGTTAACAGTGAGGACAGCCATGTTAGGACTAGCCCCCTACCCCCTTGCAGATGGCTTACTAGAAATTCCCACCTGACCCCAAAGACTAACAAAGGGTTAACAACTTGTTAACCTTTGTCTTACTGGATGGGTGCCAAGGACAGTTGAGCAGTCAGTAACCTAAACTATAACTTATCTTTCTTGGTTGCCCAGTAATGTATCCCTTAGCGACCTTCCTGGTACTTTTCCACTAGCCCCCTATATCTAGTCCAAGCCTGTGTGTGGCAATGGGCTCCAGCTCTCTTGCTGGGGTCCCCCTCTACAGGGCTTCTGCCTGAACAATAAACCCTGTGCTGGTGTTTGAGCTGTCTCTCTGCCTCTTCCATGCTTCTTATTTTCTAGGTCCTTCTTATTTCTAGGTTCTTGACCTTATGTCCAGGTCAAGATGTTTGGCAGCTCTCATGCCATCATGTGGTACAGAAAAGCTCATGGTTACCATGCTCAGAGAGGACAGGACAAGGAGATCTCACTTTCACTATGAACCCAGTCATGTGAGTAAAAAATGGGAACCCAACCACATAAGGATAAGTGTCAATGTCAGAATTGCAGAGGGATGACAAAAATGGATACACAGCAAAGACCCACAAGATATGGAAGATGGTCAAGAGGGAGAAATTCTTACCTACACTATGTAAACAAAATAACCAAAAATGGTTTATAAAGTTAAAAGAACTCACAGAAGGCATGGAATATTGTCAAATAAAATGTGAATATATAAATAACTGCTTATACTCAACAATAAAAACACAACACCCTGCAAAAATGGTCACAGAACAGGAACAGACACTTCCCCAATGAAGATGGCTATATTCAATAGAAGCACATGAAATCTTATTGATTATTAGAAAATATGAAGCAAAACTACAATTAGATACTCCTTAGGGTGGCTATATTTATTTACTTAAGGAAAATAAGAAATGTTGGACAGAATGTGTCAAAATTGGAAGTCTTATGCACTACAAGTTAAAGTAAATGGGTATAGCCACTTTGGAATAAAAGCTGATCATTTCTTGGAAATTATGTATGTTATTCATATTCTATATATTCTAATATTATTCAGTCATAAAATGGAATAAAGTCTGATACAATGGATCCTATGCTCAGAAGCACCAAGAAAAACATAAACTGTCTTGGTAACATCATCTTAAGATACAAAAGGGAGACAGCAGCACCCAGATGGCTTGGGAAGACGCAGACCACAAGGTAAGCTAAGTGGCACGTGGTACTCCCCACAGACAACCCTGGGCCAGATCAGCATAACCTCCTGGACAGACCGACCCCCCACCCAGGGAAAATACAGAAAAAAAACTGAATAATAAGCAATAACAACAAAAAAGACACGAAGCAAAGAGGGCGGGGTGCCCTGAGTGCCGAAGAGGGGGAAGGAGAAATCCCTCACCACAAGCCTGCTGTACAAGTTATGGAAACAGCCAAGATGCCCCACTACTGATGAATAGATCAAGAAAATGTGGTATCTATACACAATGGAATTTTAGACAGCCATGAAGAAGAACGAAATGTTATCATTCACTGGTAAATGGATGGAATTGGAGAACATCATTCTGAGTGAGGTTAGCCTGACCCAAAAGACCAAAAATTGTATGTTCTCCCTCCTATGTGGACATTAGGTCAAGGGCAAACACAACAAGGGAATTGGACTTTGATCACAAGATAAAAACGAGAGCACACAAGGGAGGTATGAGGATATGTAAGACACCTAAAAAACTAGATAGCATTTGTTGCCCTCAACACAGAGAAACTAAAGAAGATACTTTAAAGCAACTGAAGCCAATAGGAGAAGGGGACCAGGAACTAGAGAAAAGGTTAGATCAAGAAGAATTAACCTAGAAGGTAACACACATGCACAGGAAATCAGTGTGAGTAAACTACCTGTATAGCTATCCTTATCTCAACTATCAAAAACCCTTGACCTTCCTATTATTGCTTACACTCTCTCTTCAACAAAATTAGAGATAAGGGCAAAATAGTTTCTGCCGGGTATGAAGGGGGTGGGGGGAGAGGGAGGGACAGGGTGGATGTAAGGGAGGGAGTGGAGGGAGGGGGAGAAATGACCCCAAGCATTGCTATGCACATATGAATAAAAAAAAAAAAGCTGGCTGGAGAAGGCAGGAGCAGCGGCACATGCCCAGCAACCAGGAGCGGGAAAGCTTGTACAAGTGGCAGTGGGAGGAAAACTCCACAGGAGACGAGGAAGACCCACTTCCCATGTGAACTGTAAATAAACACACAGGCCTGAGAAAACTGGTGCAGTGTCACCTCCCTCAGTGTGCTTGGAAAAGGGAAAGCTTATAGCAGTGGCAGTTGTGCCCAGGAGAGAAC